GGATAGGACACTGTTCACTTGTAAGTCATGGGTGGGGTAGAAGGGTGTGGAATCAGGAGTGATAGGTAGTCATGGGATAGGACACTGTTCACTTGCAAGTCATGGGTGGGGTAGAAGGGTATGGATTCACCCCCTTGGTCACTTGATACCACCCCTTGGTCAGATTGGATACCACCCCCTCAGTCAGACTGGATACCACCACCACAGTCAGACTGGATACCACCCCCTCAGTCAGATTGGACACTAGTGAGGAGGTATTCTTACTGGAAACACCTTCACTGAATGACGCTTGGAACTTAATATTTCTAAAATAGATTTAATTGTATAATGCACTTTAATTTTGTATTCTTACCAACAAACACAGCCCTAGATAATTATGATTAACAAACAGTTTTGTATGGCTGCTCGTTGGCTACAGATATGAAGGGATACCTTATTAACAAAACTAACTAGAACTTTCACCAATATTGCTCTATGGGAGATATTATGCTCAGCTGCAAGATTTGCTGTCTCTGGCTCCTGCTTGCTAATGTTTAAACTTTACTCCATTTGATGCTACTGATTAGGTTGGTCATCACAGATCAATCTAATGTATCGTCAGCTGTGCAAAACCAATCAGGGCTTTTTCATCTGGTGGTTGGTTAACTGTACTTGATGATTGCTATCAAACAATAATAATATAATAACAATGAATCACAAGAGAACATCTTAGAGTGGTTTTCATAAACCCATGAAATAAACACTAGCCTAATACAAATTCTTAGACCCAAATTCCATTGTTCTTTTGTGGTCATCACACACTTTCACTGGTTGACTGGGGCCGAGGGAAACGGAGAGTTTTGTGGTCCTGAGATGGTGATGTTTCTCAAGGCAAAGCCGAGGGAAACATTGCCATTGAGGGACCACAAAACACTGCTTTCTCAAGGTTTAAGTCAATAAGAGTTTTGTTATAAACCAAGTGTCAAAGAAATCAAAGTAATTAATTGACATTTTGATTTTGAGAAAAACTTACATTTTTGGGAAAATCACTTCTGGTATTGTTATTACATTATTATTATTATTGTTATCATATTGTTGCCGGGGAAACATTGAAACTTGTTTGCATTCACGTCATGTCCTCTAGCCCAATGAAAATATGAGAAGAATGGACTTTAACAGTTGATATATAACAATAACTAATGTTATGTGTTTCACAGGTTTATGAAAATCACTCTAAAAAGAATTGAAACAGAGATATCTTTTTATGTTTTCCCCCAACCCAACTAAATTATTGAGCTGCAGGAATTACTACAACAGGTTTATTATAATAATTTTTTTTTTTTTTTTGTTACAACATGAAAATATGTCTTAGTAGAGTACACCCATATTATATCTGGATAACACTTTGTAAGAAATTGCACAAATATTGCACAAATTAGTAAGCTGACAGTAGACCTCAGTAGAGTGTAGACCTACAAAACTCTGTACTGATTTGTACAATTTCATTAGTTCGTGTATATATGGTATGCACTCTACTAAATGAATATTAGCAAATTCTCAACCATAACAGTATACTCACCAGTGGAAAAGTAAAAGATTTGCTTGGGGGTGGGTTATCGAGAACTTTTTTCAAATTGGCTGCAACTGAAAGGTAATGATGGTACGATTACTGCAAATTTCATAAGCATGTGAACTCTGTATCTGCCAGCTGCATGCTGAAATTTGATTTTTTTGCTGCCCCAATCAAAAATATGAAAGGTACCGACTGATTAGGTTTGATTGCAGCGAAAAATCAAACTTCAGCCTGTAGCTCGCATACAGAAAGCTCATGTTTATAAAAATTACAGTAAATGAAAACATGAGAATGCTAATTATAAGAACTGGACACTACAGGAATAACTAGCTTTATTGTTAGTCTATTATTCCTGATTTAGCAAGTGGATAATGCATCAAACAATCCCTAAACGCTCCCATTTCACCTCAGTTTACAAAATTAATATTGTTTTCTTAATTTTCTTTTTTTTAATATTTATTATTGGTAACTTTATAGACAAGTCAAAATAAACCAATCACTTCAAAGACAAAACAACAACATTATTTAAAACACAAAACAAACAATAAACCCAACACTACCCCAACTAACTATCTTGACCTAAGTTTTCAAAATTAATAATTACAATTATTTTGTAACTTTATGCAAGAAATTAATGGTTTTATAAAGATACATTTAACATGCTATTACAAATTAACAAACCAGAAATACAAAAATAAACAAGCAAAAAAAAGCTTTTGGTGATTATGCTGATGCTTAATACCAATGACTAAATCTTTTCCATCGATTAATCCAGCTGAAACTAACTCCTGAGAGACTCCTTGAGCTGTATCTGTACAAGGACAATATAAATGAGCAGAAAGAGTGTTATAAGAAATATAAACTTCAAGTCAGTTGAATCATGATGTTTAGAGTGTTTTTTCTCAAACCGTTGCTGCAAGCTGCATGTGGAAATTTTTTTTTGCTGCCGTCAATTAAAGTCAAACAACACTAATCAGCCGTTACCTTTCATATTTTTGACTGGCAGCAGTGAAAAACCAAATTATTATGGGCAAATTGCAACTATAGAGCTTGCTTGTTTAATGAAAATTAATAATATATTAAAAATAAATAACAGTGTAATTACATACTAACTTCCTGGAACTGTTTCATTGTCTTAGAAAAATCACTCTACAGTGTACAAACTATCATGTTTACACTCTTGAAATATTGGAAAATAAAAAGCATTACCTTTGGCATAACAGAAATCAAATCTAATATCATTTAATTCATTTTTGTCATTTCTGAAACAAAAAGACAATGATGATGAATAAATGTGGTAGTCACGACACAGAAAGGACTAAATCAAACATCTCTTACCTTAATCTAAGAGTCAAATCTAGCTTTTGAGGGAGAGGTTGTGCAGGAGCTGTTGCAGGAGCTGGTGCAGGTTCTGTCTTTATTGGAAAATTTGGTGGGGCTGTCAAGGAAATAGAGATGAAAACAATTTTTTAGCCAATAATATTTTAGCAATTGTCCTGCAGTGACCAATCACAATGTATGCTATATGCAGTGTTTATACTGGTCAAGAAAGCGTTTTTTTCCTCGCAAATATTTTGTATGACAATAATATCTATAAATAGTATAAAGGACAAAGCTTCTTTTTGGAAGTTGCCTGTCGTTTGCTAAATTCACTTGAAATCAATGTATCAACAATCTGACAATATTTCAACACTTCAAGTTTTACATTAATTCCCACGAATACGAACTAATGAAAGAGATTGCAGTTGAATCCTGATGATCAGAGCATAAGTTTAATACGAGTCAAAAGTGTCACTGATCACCTGTCATAAAAAAGCTTCGCTCTCAGAGACTGTGTATGTAGTACTATTTACCCTTTCAACTATATATTTAATCTTTGGTGGATTAAGCAAACATTTCAAGAATATTTGGAGTAGAAGTTTAAAGAAGCCGGGAAGCTACATTTATTGTTCCTACAAAGCGCTCACCCATGCCAAAAATAAAGTCATTGATGACCCCTACGTGTTCACGCTTGAGGTGGTTTGACTGTAATGACAGCTATTAGTAGGACCCTATTATTTTAAGATGATTACTAAACATCTCTTACATATTAAAATACCTTGTTCTTCCTTGGGTGTTGGAGGCTGGATATTCACTCCTGGAACATTATCGTTTGTTGCTTTCACTTTCTATGATGTACAAAAAAAATTTACAAGTCAACCTTAGTCAGATTATTTCCATACCTGAATGCAAAAATGCAAACAACAGTTGATCAGCAATTTTAACCTTTATTATCTTAGTTTTAATGTAGGTGCATGGCTTGGAGAAAAGGGGCAAGGAGGAGGGGGGGGGAGATAAGGTGGCTCCAGGAGTGCTACAACTAAACCACCAACAAACCATTTTCAGAATCAGAGGGAAAAACAAGACTACAAGCCCTTGCTGGACTAGGTGCTCAAAGAGCAGATCTAGATTTGGAACAACCCTCAATAGAAGTGCCTTTAATGCTTCTTACATTACTGTCTGTTGTCAGACTATTGGGTGGCATAGATGGTCTATGCTCATGTTTTGTCATGTCAACAATACTGAATTCATGTTTGGGGTGGTCCAGCATGCACTCACCAACACGAGTGCTGTTTTCTCCTGTTTCATGAGGGTTTTTCTCCAGGTTCTCTTGTCCCCCCCCCCCCCCCCCCCCAATACAGTCAATGTGTCAAATCAACTACTCAAACTCATTGATAATTCATGATGACAGAACAAAGAAAATCACTAACATGATTCAGGAGGTTTGAGAGTATTAGAATAAAATTTGGGCAACCTATGCTTAGAATTTCTCCAAGAATCATAGCCTGCATAGCTGCTCTTGGGGAGGGGGAGGGGGTTGAAGCAAGGAGGCAGGGCAAGGTGCCCCAACCCCCTCCCTCTCCCCAAGAGCCGCTATGCAGGCTACAAGAATCATTACAGTAATAGTTTGAGAAGCCATATCAAGCACTTGAAAGAGTTTTTCATCCTCTATCCATGACACCATGAACTTGGACTCCATCTCGTTTCTTCAACTCACTTCACAGTGTTTGTAAATCAGATGAAACACTCTTTCACGTTTGATATATTACTTCTTGTGCAACCTAAAGCTCATCTAAGTACTTATGGTTTTAGATCTTTCTTTTGCTTACCTCTTCCTGTTCAGTGTCAGCTGGTTTAGTTTCCTTAGATTCCTAATAGAAATAAATATAATTTACGTTATCTCTAATGTTCTCATTCAAAATTGGAAATCACATGGTGACAGCCTCGATGAATATTAACAATGCACCATTAACAAAACATGAAGAGATGTATTTTAGGAATATGTAACTAACACCTATTCCTATTTACGACCACATTGAAAGATAATAAAGAATAGACCATTTTTTGACACGGTGGCCATCTTGAATTATGGGATGCTGGGGGTAAAAACGTAGAAAATATTTCCGTACAAATGTACTGACTCTAAATGTTAACTCTAACTATTTACTTGGTTTGTTTAGTTAGTTCTCTAAATACAAGTAAAAATTCATTTTTCTAGCTTAATTGAAGCTTTTCTTATTGCTGTTAAGAGAGCTAACTAAAGAAATCTACCTAAATTTTCTCTTTAAAGTCAGTGAATTTGTATGGGAATCCAAGAACAATGTCCAAACCTTTTGGTGACCGTTACACAATCCAAGCTAGCGCCGAAAAAGTGAATTGCATTTTAGATGTCCTCATTTAAAAGTATAAAGTTATATAACATTTTTGGAAGAGTCCCCCCTTGGCATCCCATAATAGTCTTAATTAAAACAATATAATTCAAGATGGCCACTGCATCACTAACATGGTCTATTCACATCTACTCTTCTTTGTGTGAGAGCAGTCGTGCAGGGTAGTATTTTTTGATACATTATTTATAAGTAATGTACTTTTCTTAAAGGACTGTGATCAAAATCATTGTAATCACACATGTCTGGTGTTAAAATCATACCTGATGTGCCTTGTGGGGCTTGTGGGAATCAGTGCCTGCCTCATCATCTGACCACTCCCAACTTCCATCTTCATTCCTGTGTAGTCTTCCACTGGAGCCAGGGACTCTTTTAACCTAAAATCAATTTTTAATTTGATGATTTCTTTAAACAATGGTATTTTTAGTCATGACAAAAAAGGTGCCTTGGTGGGCATCAGTTCAATTGCTTCCATGACATTGTCAGAAAAAAAGTTTTTAAGGTACATGCCTATTGAATGTCATGGAAATGCCTTGATTGACTGGCGGGTGGTCTATCCACCAAAACCCAATCTGTCATGATTATGATTTCATGCATGCTATTGAGAATGACTGTATTTCATAGGAATATTAAAACCAAGCTAATTCAATCTTAAATAAAATCATAATGAATGATTATCTTAGTAAATTTGGTGTAACCATTATTTATGGACATTTTAAGTGACATTCTGTTTGCAAGTCAGATGCTCTAATGACTGAGCTAGTGGAACTCATGCTTGTGAGCTAGGCCTAGATGGTATTTAAGCCTGGTCACTTTAAGTTATGGATATCCATTTACACAATGTGGTGTGGAAAATGAAACGTCAACAGCCTATAACTTTATAAAAGTATTGTGTTATAATTATGGTTGGCATCATCAGGATTCTGATGATAAAAATTAGCTTAAATTTCACACTGTTCTTTGAAAATTCTGTATATTTCTCTCTTGTATTCATGATGGGACAATTTGACATAATTGAAGAATAATCAAATATTGGAGGAAAATGTCATCATAGTATAAAATAGGAAATGGGACTCATAACGGACTCATACCTTCTGACTCCTTTGACTTAATGGTTTAACAAATTTTAAAAGATTACTTTTTAAAAATTCAGCATCCTGTGAATAGTGGTTAAAAAAAAGTATATAAATAAATAATTGAACAAATAAATAAAATGAATGACAATAAGCACTAAACAAATAAGCGAGGGAGAAAGCAAGTACTATCTAAAGATAACTAGAAAACATTATAAAGGGAAGAAATCTTAATACAGTTAATTTAAAAACATGTCATTAACCAGCCTCAAGCCTATGTGAGTGAACTGAAGGGGAGTATGGGTAGATTTATTTTAATCACTGAAGTGGTTAACTGCATATTTGATTGGATAGGTACCCATTTGCCCAGGATTATTTATGGACCTTCACTAAATGGCAAGCAGGCAGAGTCAAGGAGACAGTCTTTTGTAATGACTTAACAGTTTCAAAATTGGGAACTTCTTTAACTGGATATGAGTCACTGACTAAACAATATTACGCAAAGCTTGAATGCATAAATTTTGCGAGTTGTTGGTGGAATAACTAACCACTTCAGTGATTTCTATCCATACTCCTTTTCCGCCTCACACTTAAGGGAACAGTAAATGACAACTTTATAGTATAAATGGAAATAACGTGTTGCAAGAAGCAATATTATTATACAATAATAATGAAAATATATAGCTTCTCATTAATACAATCTTGAAGAAATTATTTAACTAACAGTAATAAATGCCATTTAAATGTACTGTCTCGTATTGTAACCAGCAGAAAACAATTTAACATCAAAAAACGACGATGTCTATCTAGTTGTCTACATGTAACTAACATTAGGGTCAAATTACAATTCTCTTGCAGTCTAGGTTTCTGATTGGCTTGACCACCCAAAGTTAGAATGCATTTTTTTATTCTATATTTGGATGAGTGGCCCCATTTACAGTAGTTGCACTGTAATTATTTAATAATTTTATAACATTATTTGAACTGTGATGCAGACTGCTAAAAAAAGTTACTGTACCTTTGCTTTCTTGAAGAAAGGATTTTTAAGTAGTTCACTTGCATCAGGTCTGATAAGAAGATAATTGATGAATGTTAGAATATGAATATTACTGGAGATGACGTCTATTGATAGTGGTAACCTATTGGCTAATCTAGGGGGTGTAGAAGGACATGCCCCCATTTGAGAATACAAAATATATTATTTAAGTGCAAAAAATCCCCATGGGTAAATTAACTTGACTGAAATGATGAAACTTTAGAATTTCATACCATTCCATTTAGTTAATGGGTAAACTGGTTAACTAAAGATTTGTTGAATATTTGTACCAGTAGCTGAAACTATTTTTCATTCCTTAATCTTCAATATTAGCCCCTTTTCAAAATCCTAATAATCCTAATACCATTTCAAGTTGACCTTTGCTCAGTCTTAGCCTCAATTGTGTACAAATGCATTCTTTTCTTTCATTAAGGTCATTTGTATTGTAAGAAATGTATGAACTATGGAATATTACGAGTTGATTAAAATGCCACAGGTTTTGGTTGAATAGCTGAATATCACATGCATAACGCACAAACAAGACTAAGACTGAGCAAAGAGAACTCGAAACTGGAGTATTCTGCTATTGTAGTAAGTGCCATCTGAAATATAATTTTTCATGTGAATCACATACTGCCCTAAATTTACTGTAAATTAAGAGGTAACATTGTTCTATTTATGAATCACCTTTGAGCTGGGTCTTTATTCAGACAGCAGGCAATCATTTTCTTGAAGACCTTGGAATACTTCTTATACTCTTTGTTTTCTCCTTCACTACATGTGTCTATAGTAGGTGGGTCATTTTGTAACGTCAACATAAGAACCTTAAATGTCAATCAATTAGGCAAGATTACATATAGGCATTTCACTTATTAATGACAGTCATCTATATTTGAAGGTTTGGTGCAAATGTCCAAGCTGCTTTTCTAGTTTCTCCTGAACATTATTCTATTCTGTACATGATGCTATGCCATAACGTATTCTTGGGTATTTGGCTATAATTAGTCAAACTTAAGGAAGGTACATTTTGGGGGGAGGGGAAGGGGAGGGGGGCTGCAGCTTCAGAGAGGAAGGTCATCAGTAAAGTTTATAATTTAATTACTGATGAAGACTCCCACTTTTTGGATAATGACGTGAAGGTAATATCCAAAAACGACAATCCAAAATGCCCTGTTGACTGAATGAGTGTCTGCGATGATTGGTAGACATCCCACTTTTACCCCATAGATGACAGTCCATCCTGGCTGCCGTGTGGTCAGTGGTAAACTACCTATTAGGCAACAATTGGCCATGAAACAACCAACTTTCAATCAACTGGGCATCTGAGGCACTAATCATGAAGTGCAAATTGTATTGGCATAGGAGACCTCAAAAACAATTCAGAATTCATAGGTACCAGTGATGTTTTGAAAGTTTTCAAAATTGGACGAGCCTTTTAGGCAAGAACATCTATAAATTCCAAATTGCATGCGAAGATTGTGCGATTTTTTGTTTATAATACACACTCTCAACAAATTTGAGGAATTTACACGTAATTGGGACTCTACAGAGTACAATTTGGGATTTGATTGTACTCCTCTTGTCCAAAAAGAATCAAGTAATTTTCTTGAGGGTAATATAATGTAACTTACTATTTAAAGGTGTAATTATTTCTATTGACTCATCTGCTGACAGTACTGACCTTCATTGCTGGGAACTTAGCATATGGTGCTGTTCCTGTGGCTAGCTCAATAGCTGTGATTCCAAAACTCCAGATATCTGCTTTATGATTATATCCCTGGACCTGAGCACAAGAAACACAAAATAAATATCTTTATGAGCAAGTACCTTATTTGTGAATGTTGTACACTATACTGCTGTCATGATAATATGCTAGAAATCACTAAAGGAAGAGTTGGGGTAGCATATGAAAGTCCAAAACAATTAGGTTTTAAAATGGCACATGTAATGAGACAACCTATAAGCTAATATTAACATCAAAGGCCCATCTACATGCTGTGATGTTGCAAGCCTGTTCCTTTGGAAGAATATATCAAGAAACAAATTGTGCAAGTTAGTTTAGTACTGTAACTGATTTCAATGATCTTAAAATCTGACCAATATTAGAAAATCTGTGAATTTTGTAAACTGAGCCAATTCAATTTTTTCTAATTGGGTTTGAGTGTGATCTAAAATGCAAGCATGATTTGCTTCCTGATAAATCCTACTGACAAATCGCAGAGCATATTTCCTGCCTAACTGCAACATAAATGTACATCATGTTCTTGTTTCGATTATTACCTGCTCCATCACCTCAGGAGCCATCCAACACGGTGTTCCCACAAATGTTTTTCTCATTTTGGGTCTTGTTCTATCTCCATAGTCACTAATTGCTGAACTGACACCAAAATCTAGGGTATAACATTGAAGACAAATGATGTTTATGTAATTGCATAACTAAGTAAACTAACTAGAATAAGGAGAAAGGAAACCAAGGAAAACTTGGAAACTTTTTCTTTTGTCTAGTGTACTTATGAACTCTATTACAGACAATTTAATGTATCTATAGGCAAAATTGCACAGGTGATACAGTTCATTGGCAAAAATGCCAGATATCCAGGGGAAGATCCAGAATCTTCTTGGGGGGAGGGAGGTTGCAATCACCCCCCCCCCCCCTCCGTCACTGATACCTTTGCATTAGATCAATACCAGATATAAGTACCATACCTGCCACTTGAACAGTACCATCCATTGCCAATAGAATATTACCAGCCTTTACATCCCTAAAACATGTAGTTAATGAAAATTTAAACCAGTAATCAGCATTTTGTCTATGGTAAAAAACAACCACCACCATAAATATCCAGATATCTTGGGATGCGTGTATAATCATGAAAATGGCAGGTAGGCAAAATAATTAAACTCCGTTGTGCAAATTTGTCCATTAAAGCAGGCATGCAATTTCAATCCTTACGCCTTATACAAATCTGAAATGAGTCTGCATAATAATAATTGTCTTTGTAGCAAATGTTAGCAGTGATGCTGTACCTGTGTATTAACCCATTCTTGTGAAAGTATTCCAAACCCTTAAGAACTTCCTTTAATACAGTTGCAATGATTTCTTCATCTAGAACTCCTTCTTCACAGGCTTTTGGGTCTTCTTTAATTTTATGCTTTATAATGTCCAGCATAGATCCTGGAAATGATATATAAGTGATTTATTCATAGGGTGTTTCATGAAATGCCACTCAAAAATAATTGTACAACTAGCATATGTATATGCGTCATTAGTCCATAAATCAAGTATTAGAGTTCGTGCTGAGGTGTCCACTTAAAATTCAAGGACTATTCAAGGAGTATTCAAGCCCCTTAAAATAATTTTTCAAGGAGTATGTTTAGCTAACTAAACAATGGTTTTCCAAGTAGTACTACAGCAAGGACATGGCCGACTTCTCAAGTCTATTTCTAGTGCCCCTTATGAGAGGCAAGTAATGCCTGGTTGATCGAATGACAAGATCTCTTTCAGAACCATGCAAGTAATGATCAAAGCAGAAATTAAAGGAGTTTTACCAAAATTGTAAAATTAGAGATTTTCAAATGCCCTCGTAAATATGAATAAAATTCAAGGAGTTTTCATGGAGTGTAAGTAGTAGCAAGAACCCTGTTGTATACAGAGAATATTTTTACCTCCATTGAGAAGGCGCATCACTATCCACAGCTCTTGACGCACAACAAAGGAGGTGTAATAGTTGACCACATTATCATGGTTGCATTGGCTCATTGCATGGATTTCTTTCTAAAAAATCATCAAGACAACAAGACTCAATAGAATTCTACTTCAATGATTTATCAATTAAGGAGGCTTAAAATGGTTTTCCTTGAGCTTGCGTGCATTCTAGGACCAATGACTTTGTCATTGCATTTGACCTTGCAAAAGGAACACTTTGTCCTCAAAAATTTTAATATGCAAACTGAAAAAACTCAAAAACTGTGTAGTGAAATTTCTTCAAATTTTGCATTTGGCAATTATTTTTGTGAGTGTAGGTGAAGTGAAGAAAACACTTTCCAGCCTCCTTAAGAATTAGTACTAGTAAATTAGGCATAAGATGAAAAGTGGAGAAAAAATTGTAGTAATGATGTCATGATATCCCAGGTTCTATGTAAAATGTAACTAAGGTAAATTTATTTTCTTTTGATTACACAGGGAGCAATTGTTTTGTCTCCCTATCTCTTTTGATAGCAGATCACATTCAGGAAATTTGCATGGTAGTTGATTTTTTGGGGGGAAACTGGAGAAAAATGGAGATTCCTGGAGAAAAACTAGAAAACCCTTGAAGCAAAGGACAGGCCGAGAAACTAATCACATAGGATACTGAGCACATTAATCAAACTCAGGTTGCATTGTTCAGAGGTGGCACCTTGGCACTGCATATCACCCATGCTTCTCTTTTTACTTCTGAACCTGGGTCACATCTAAGTGGAATCACTTGTTTGTATCTTGTCTCTCCATTGATTTGTGTTTTCTTTGCATGAGGAGTTTTCCAGTTTTTTTGTTTCTCCAAAAAAACTCACAAAAAGTACTTAAAGTCAAATTCCATCTGTGAGTTAGCAAAGCCTTTCCCTGCTAGCAGAGCCTATTTTCCTTTTGTTTTGGTTGTGAGAAAAATAAACTCTGCCAATGTAGGATGTTATACTTGTCGTGCCTGCATGGCGTAACTTAGCAACGCTGTCATGATTTTGACAGCCACTCTCATCAAACAACGTTTGGCGCCACAGTGTGTTACATTTGCTCATGCGCACTACATGTACTCAGTTAAAAACCGGTTTTAAGGTGACTGCCTACTTTTGGAAATTGATTTAAGCTTTTTTTAAAACTTCGATTTTC